GGAGCGTACATTAACGTTGGCCGCACATACAACCACCTCAAGTTGTACGAGAAAGCGGAGGAAGCGTACCTCAAGGCGAAATCCTTGTTGCCCAAGGCAAAACCGGGCGAGTCTTACCAGGCGAGGATAGCGCCCAATCATTTAAGCGTGTTCCTCAATCTGGCTAACTTGATTTCAAGAAACCACACAAGGTAAGGAGGGCTGAGGGGGTTTAGACTCTATTTCTTTATTTGCGCAAACTGATTAGTTCACTGGTAGTGAGTCTGTTGTCTTTGAAGTAAATTCCCGACTAAAGTGTCAACGGAAATTGTCAACATAATTACTCATATGACATCCAAATTATTTTTTCTCATGTTTCTCATCAAAAATTACTTGGGGTATTAAAAAACCAAACGGAACTGCTTGCACTGAAAAAAAGTGCGAGTAATGGAAGCTTAATAAACAAAAATGAAGATTTTACATATTTATTTATTAAAAATTTTTGTACCAAAGATTTATGTATAGGATAAAGCGTAAAAATGCAGTTTTATTAATATTTTGACATTATACATAGACTGCAATCTAAAATACTGAAGATATAAGCACGTATGGGAATTTTATACACTTCTATAGGTATATTTTCTTTGAATAAAAAGACTAAGGATAGAGGATATTAGACAATCGATGTCATGACAGGCCATTTTATGACAGTTTTAAAAAATGTCTATACCTATGTGGTGGATTCATCTCTCCAAAAAAGTCCTATACTTAATGGTATTTCGCTACTGCAAGAAAAGGTACAAAATAAAATAGTTATTTTTTTAAACACTACTGCGTTAATTCAACGGAGACTAATTGTCAGCAGTGGTCTACCAATAAACAAATTTGCCTCACGGGCAAAAAAATGCTTAAAGTTTCGGAAAATTTATCTCTTTTTCTTCTCTAAAAAAATACAAAAAATTAAAAAAATACAAAAAGAAAAAAACTATTTAAAGTATTTAAATGCAACTATTATTATTATGACAGTTTTGTCTGACGTTTCCATGTGACATTGGAAATGGATTGGATTTTTTTCTGATTTCTTAGGCGAGTCTATTTTACGTTATATCTTGTTTTTTTGTTCAAAAACCACTCGGCATTGTAGATCTAAATGACTTTATCAAGAAAATAAATTTTGCAATGCATGAAGATAGGGCATTTAACTAAAATCTCATTTTTCGATGAGGGCTACCTTATAGTTATTATGTTACAGGAAAGCCCACACTTTACATAGTAGATATCTGTAACACTTTTAATGATTAACGCCTACTATTGAAACAGCGCCTGCCAAACCTTGTTTTATATTTCAAAAAAAAAACACAGTTTTCTTATTAAATATCTATTTTACGTATAGGAAGTACTTAATAAAATGAACAGATTAAACAAAACTCTTTTTATTAGTTAAAATCCTCTACTGAGGGACAGGAGAGTCAAAGTCACAGTCTTATATAAAAAAATATTTAGAATTTTTACTATTTAAAAAAAATTAGGCAACTTGTTTCGGGAATCACAATCCCATCTTCAAGCCCGGAAGCTAAAAATATTTTCAACAAAAAACAATCAAAGTAAGTCAAACATATTTGTCAACCGAAGAAAGACAAGTAACAAAACACTAAAATACGGGTAACAGTCACAAAAGTTAAAACTATCCAAATTATTTGTACAACGAAATGTTACAGAATGCCAAGCTACCACGAAAGCATTTATCCATCTAAAATTTATCAAATATCATGAAGAGTACTTAAAACTATTTCTAAAAGAAGTGGAAAAATTCAGATTTAACTCTTTTGGATTACAATACAAAATACAGGTTGTTCGATTTAAAATAGAGAAGAAAAATACAACATTTAGTTTTGACTCACCGTGTATATATCAAACAAGATTGCAATTTATTTTTTGAATTTATAATCTTGAGAGGGCTTTAAATAAGCAGTAAATTTGGTTTAAAACCTGTTATACATATATCAAAAACCACTCGGTATAGTATATAACATTATGGTATTTTTGGAATGGAAATTTAATGACAAATCCACTAAGCTAAAAATATACAGTATTCCATTTAAGAATGAACAACTTTAGTTTCAAAATATGTTGTTGTTGCATTTTGACAAAAATATTTTCAAAATGTGCGTTACCATTGCTTTCACATTACGTAAAAAAATTGAAATAAAAATGCCAAACCAAACAACACTATACATGTTAATTGTACCCATACTATCAGGATAAGCTACTTAATTATTGACAAAAGAACCTTTTAGCTGAAAATAGATATGCCTGTGTATTTTTCATATATTTAACTGTTTGTGTTTGTAAATATTAGTAAATTGTTTTTTTAATCTTATTCTTGTTTTGCTCTTTTGCTTATATTTTTATTTCTTAATGTGTAACTGCTCATATTGATTATATAAAAAATTGAAAATTTAGAAGTGTCCTGAGCTACAATAATTTTTATAGTCCTTATACTCCAAGTACGGTGTTTTCTCTCTCTGTATTTATTATTATAGTCTTGATAAAGACGAAAATACACGTCGAGACGTCGGAATTTTTTTAAATAAAAGGTTGTTTATTTCCCGGTCCTAAACCTGCGAACGCCATTTCGTCTATAACATAAGGGCGCAAATCTACCACATCAAAAAACTAATATGAAGCTTTTTCGGTAGCTTGGATCACCCTTATAATTCTATATTCTCCAAAATACTTCTATTTTAGCCATAGGTGCGAGTATTTGCATGCAGGTTACCGAAACTTTTTAAGCTAAAACTTTAAAATACGAATATAAGAAAGTTTAACTAAAACTCCACGCCCGCCGGTTGCACTCGAACCATTTCCCAAAACGATATTTTCCATTTAACTACAGGGAGTAAACTTACAATTTTCCGAACGGTAAGCTCCAATTCCGTTTTCCCGAACGTAGAAATGTCATTATAATACGATTGGTTTTTTCCTTGGGAATAGTAATATTATGTTTTACCCGCAGATACGTTCCATATTTCTGTGAAATTACACCTGAACCCGATAGCTGCATTTTCCGCGTCGCAAGGAAATTTTATTTCGCAAAATATATCCATCAACCCGATATCGAGTATCGCTTCCGTGGTTCGAGTAATAAATATACGACAAAAATAACCCAAACAAAATAATTTTTCATTATTGTCGTTTAAAGAACCGTTTCGGAAATCTATTTGACATCTTATTCAATTTCCAAGACGTAATGATTTTTTATGGTGTTGGTATCAGAATATTATGATTCAGAGGTACATAATCTAAAATATATCCCATCAAAAACATAGAATGTAAAAAATGAGAAGTCTCGCAACACAATCCTTCCACTATAAAAAGTTGTGAGATCTTAGTAAAACCAAGTCAGTTTATTTTATTTAGTCTCTCTTTAATCACCTATTCAACAATTTTGTTATAAACCGTTAGTATCAATATTAGTCATCTTTATTTCTGTAACAATTATTTATAATGACTTGACAATTGCACAACACCATAATTATAAAAGAATAATCTACCATCTCGATTACTAAGTAAACCTAAACAATACCCTTAAAAATAAAGTTCTTTTTAATTAGAATAGAGTAATAAGTCATTATAATTATTGCAGAAATAAAGATGACTAATATTGATACTAACAATTTACAACACAATTGTTGAATAGGTGCTTAAAGAGAGTCTAAATAAAATAAACTCTTTTACATGAGATCTCACAACTTTTTATAATGGAAGGATTGTGTCGCGAGACTTGGCATTTTTCAGATTCTATGTTTTGATAGGATCTCGTTTCTTTTTGTAGGTTATCCTCCTATTTTTTTCAGGGACAATATCGTCCCATTGCTGCCAAAAGTCACTAACTTACTTTTTATTACTTCCGAGAAAAACGCGTCTAAAGATGAATTGCATTGCATAAAGATGTTATAGTTAGTAACTATTCGGTATTAAAATAAAACATAGAAAGCATAACCAGAAATCCTAGTTAATGACTTTCTCAATCGATTCTCCGCTTCAAAATATTGTTAGTAATTCAATTTCCAGGTTGTTCGGAAAAATGTTAGTTAGTGACTTTTGGCGGCAATAGGACGATATATCATTCAAAATAATATTAAAGAAGTTTGACTAAATTATCGTATAAGGTCAGATAATATCAAATGAATTAATTCTAGTTTTCTAACGACTAAATTTCGTTATAACCTAAATATCAACTTTAAAAATGTTCAATTCATGATTTTACATTTGCTTATTCAAAATCATGTTTTTGTCAATTTTATACATATTTTATTTTTTATCTCGAAAACTGTATTGGTATTATAAAAAATTATGAGATATGAGAGTAGTTTTCAAAAATGTAATGTTCCATTTAAAATAACAAAGATGCTACCACTTTTCAAATGATCCGGCAACACTGTAACACTGATAATATTTTAGATAAATGGAGTAGGTGCCTTTATGTGAAAATCCCAATTTTCAAAACAATCCTATCGCCGTGCCGGTTCTAATATTACCACCGCCGGAAAGTTGGTTACAGGTAGCGGGTAGACAGCTCACTTTTGATCCATAAGAATATTTCGAGATTTTTCATCTTTTCCTTCCATTATAAGCTTAATTATAAACTTAAAACCTAAACTGCAAAATTTGAAGTTTGTGACATATCTAGAATTTCCTTAGAATTTTGATTTACTAGTCTTATATTGACTAGAAAACGAGTCACTGGCGAAGTTAAAGAAATTTGACTAGAAAAAATCATAATCCTTGAATTATTATTGGCATTAATATACAAAATCCGCTTTGGCATACAAAGAGACCGCTTCGATTAATTCTAGTTTTCTAGCTTTTTCGCGATTGGAAAGTCAGTTACCGGTAGCAGTTAGACAACTTTTAATCCAGAAGGATATGTCGAGATTTTTCATTTTTTCCTTCCATTATAAACTTAAAGCTACCTATTTTAAATTTGAAGTTTCTGACACATCTAGAAGTACCTTAGAATTTTAATGATCTCTCAGTGAGTCAATGTCGAAATTAAAGAAATTTGACAAGCGATAATTCATAAACTATGAGGTATGATTACTAGATATTTTGGTAACCTAGCTAGCTATAGTATATCTTCACGTGTAGTGAAAATTAATATTCTTGCTTTATCCACAACGAAGTTACCAGAGTGGTCAAAACCAGTAATACCTTCCAGAAAAGAATGGTATGGCTGTGCTCGATTTGGCGGGGGCACTACCGTGCTTACGGTATCTGTGCTTACACTACCGTGCCCCCAGATACCGTATGATCGAAGATATACGGCGTCATAGACGGCTGGGGAATGTCAATCGATGAGAATGTTAGAGAGAATAAATTTCTAGACGTCATTTACTAATAATTGACATAACAACTTTTCAAAAATTAACACTAATTATAGGAATATTAAAAGAAGGTACAGCGTTTCCAGATAAAGATCTATCAAAAAGTTATTTTTCTCCATTTTAATATACACCATTTAAAAATCATTTTCACTCAATATAAAAATAAGTCACAACCTTAAGACCAACTGGCCGTAAGCGCTATTTAAATGACGCCTAGAGCTTGATCTCGCCAAAATTATAATCGGTTTTTATTCCTCAGACGCCTTTGAAGCCGATAGATTTTTTTTCGATCGTATAGTATTTGTGAAGAAAAATTCCGAGATTATATTTTAGTATATAATATTTAACTTTTTTGATAGACACCCTCATGAAGAGAATAAATATAGCTTTAATTTGACATAAAAATGATCAAAAGATTTTATGAGCGTAATATCGTCTCCAATATCCGTTATTATTATTATTATTAATTAAACATAATAACTGCAACTTTTTGATAGAGACCCTGTTATAAGTAGTGTATTCTCCTATTGATACGCAAAAATTAGGTTTTGATTAAAAACACGATGCTTGGCAAATCCTGCAGCCCTATCTTAGATTATTGGTAGACCTTTTGGTTCCTAGACATCCAAAAGAAAGATTTATTAAATTTTTGGTGACGTGAATGCGACTGCTAGCACACATATCTACATCCTAGGATTAAAGAACATACAATGCAGCATGTCATTTTGACATTCTCCCACCAAAAATATCTTCTAAAACAGACTTACAAATATACAGAGAGTTCCAGCATTCCGTGGACATAGAACAACTAGGTATTTATTGAATCAAAATAAGTTAATTGACCATAATTTACCTTTAAACAAAAGTTCTTCGTTTGTTTATTAGAGGGCATAAATCAAAAATAAACCTGAACGTTAATTAATTTAAAATTTATAATTTTTTTTGGCTTATTGTCAAATATAATTTGTGATACTAATATAAAATTCCATATTTTCGCCAACTAGATTAATAGATTCTATGCGCCTCTATAGTCATAGCTGATAAAAAATATTTTTTGGAAGGCAGCTTCGGGAAAATGTTTTTCCTCAAAAAGTATGCGCTTTTTGACAAGAGATAAAAATGTAGTAAATACTAGAAGGGACTATTTAACGAAAAAAAAATCGGTCGTCGGTTGAATTGGAAAATATTTATACTAAAATTTATGTAGGAGTGGGTGTAGTTTTCACCTTTCCAGTAATTTTTGTAAAAGTTAAATGTTAAAGCACTTAGCAAAACCGGACACCCAATATCTCATTCAAATCGGTTCTTAAAATATCTAAAAAAATGTGTTTATTCTTTTGTATATGGGTAAACTGTGTCCAATGAACTTATTTTGTCGTCCACGGAATATTGGGACACCCTGTATATTGTAATAATTCGTCCTTATTCTATTAAAGTAAATATTAAACAATTTATTTTCATTTTTAGATTGGAAGAAGCCGATCTGCTGTACCGACAAGCCATAAGCATGAGGGCGGATTACACTCAAGCGTATATTAACCGAGGTGATATATTGATAAGACTCAATAGGACGAAAGAAGCTCAGGAGGTGTATGAAAGGGCTCTTTTGTACGACAGCAATAATCCCGATATTTATTACAATGTAAGTGTGATTTTTACAGTGGATGGTTAAGTCGTTACCTTTTTTAACTCAGCAGGGTCAAGTTTTCTATATAATATAAGCATTCATTTTAAATAACACTATACATGGTGAGGTTCCTACGATGTTCTCTATGGGTATCTCGGAAACTACTGGAGATAGAAAGTCGGTTAAATGGGGAAAGAATTGCAGTTTTGTGGGGTCATAAATATAAACCTTTCAGATTTTTGAAAAAGTTCATGGCTTACCAGATATTTCGAAAAAAACAAATTTTGACTATTTTAAAAATTGTCCCTAATTCCATTATAAGTTATTTTAGACAAAAAGTTTTCAGATAAAACTTGTAGATAATCACATCCTTAATGAGATAGTGTCCTCCGTTTTTTTCTAGAGCCTGTCATTTTTGACATATGACACAAACATATGTTTTTTTTTAAATGGAAACCATAGTTAGCCATGACTTCATAGAAAGCGCCATTTTTTAAGCCTTTCAGCGATATAAGCTATAATATGTTTTTTTTTCGAAAAATTACTGAGTTATTGCCAATTCTTATCATTTTTAAACAATTTCACTTAGTTAGCCATGTAAACAAGTTTAATCGTCTTTGCTCTCATAAATGTGAAGCTGTCACATCCAATTTTTCTAAACCAAACAAAAATTGTAAATATGAATTTTTCAAATGAAGAAAAGCGTGTAGGATTTTCAAGGAAGATTGTTCAACCTTTCTTGGCCATACATTTTCGAGGATACGTTGACCTGTGAATGTTACGTTTTTTAGAGAACGGTTTTCAAGACATGTTAGAAAAGTTAGTTATAGCCAATTCTTATCTTTCTTGACTAATTTCACTTAGATTGCATGGTATTCTTATTCTGTTATGATTTATAACTTATAAAAAGTCAGAATATATTACTAAACGGTTCTTTACAATTTACATTACACAAAACTAAAACTTAAAAAAATAATATCACTACATACACTTTAAGTTATTTTAGAAAATTTTCAAAAATCCGCCATTGTTTTGAGTTGCATCTTTTTAAAACTGAATTACTACTTATTCTCACAGAAGGACCGGTCGACTTAATTAAACTTTTCTCGTACCGCCACTTCGAGTGCCTCTCTTAATTCATAAGTTCTTTTGTAAACCCTTATTGTTAATTATACCGCATAAAACAATCTAAAATGGATAGGTCAGGTGATCGAGGAGGCCCATGCAATTAGTCCACCTTTTCCTATCCCTGCGTTTGTATAATTATGATATAAATAATTTTTAAAATTTTTTCCATTATGAAGGGTGGGGGGTGGTGTGTCATACTGAAAGTCATGTTGGAACCACTCTAGTGATACGCGAGTATCTACACGCTTTTCTTCATTTGAAAAATTCATATTTACAATTTTTGTTTCTTATAATTTACAAAGTTTGGATGTGACAGCTTAACATTTCTGAGAGCAACGGCGATTGAACTTGTTTCCATGGCTAACTAAGTGAAATTGTTTAAAAATTACAAGAATTGGCTATCACTCAGTAATTTTTCGAAGAAAAGATATTATAGCTTATATCACTAAAAAGCTTAAAAAATGGCGCTTTTTATGAAGTCATGGCCAACTATGGTTTCCATTTAAAAAGAACATATGTTTGTGTCATATATCAAAAATGACAGGCTTTAGAAAAAAACGGAAGACACGGTCTCATTAAGGATGTGATTATCTACAACTTTTATCTGAAAACTTTTTGTTTAAAATAGCTTATAATGGAATTAGAGACAATTTTTAAAATAGCCGAAATTTGTTTTTTTCGAAATATCTAGTAAGCCATGAACTTTTTCAAAAATCTGAATGGCGAATATTTATGACCCCACAAAACTGCAATTCTTTCCCCATTTAACCGACTCTCTATCTCCAGTAGTTTCCGAGATACCCATAGAGAACATCGTAGGAAACTCACCCTGTATATAGATATATTGTCGTGACTGTAGATTGAAATTTATTTATATAAAAAAGTTATAGGGGTGGCTTACTTTTACTAAACACCCGGTAATTACAATTACGTTAACATTTTATATATTTTAGCTGGGGGTGGTATACCTAGAACAAGGCAAAGCACCTCAAGCACTCGCCTATCTCGACAAAGCTCTAGAATTCGATCCGGAACACGAGCAAGCTCTGCTCAATTCCGCCATACTCCTTCAGGAACTGGGAAGTCCGGAATTTCGTAGAAAATCAAGAGAACGACTCACTAAACTCCTGGCCAAAGATAAAAACAACGAACGGGTACATTTTAACTTGGGAATGCTCGCGATGGACGAAAAAGATATATCCCAGGCGGAACATTACTTTAGAAGAGCAGTGCACCTCAAATCGGATTTTAGAAGCGCCCTGTTCAATTTGGCCTTGTTACTGGCCGACGACCATAGACCGCTGGAAGCGGCTCCGTTTTTAAATCAGCTGGTCAAACATCATCCTGATCATGTTAAAGGTTTGATTTTGCTGGGAGATATTTATATTAATAATATCAAAGACCTTGATGCTGCGGAGAATGTAAGTATAGGTTGGGTTGTGAATTTTAATTAGAGAGAAATAGTAATATTACTGTGATTAACTTCATTTTTAGGATGTAATAATTCTAAAAATATTCCTATATTGAAAATTTCCATTCAACCTTTTTTAATTTGAATTCTCGAAATTTATTATTGAAAATAGTTTTGATAAAAAACTTGCGTTTGCGTTATGTGCGCATATTTGAAGTGAAACTTCTTACTCTATTAATCGGAAGGATTTGAAAGATATGTTCGAAAGTTTGTTTTTAAAAATTAAACATAAATAAATAATTTAATTGACTTTCACAAAATTTGTATTAAAATGACCGTCTGTCCGGCTACTCCATTCGGGTACCTCTATCCACGTAGCGAGTTTGGTTCCAATCGGCCCATAATTAAGAAAAATCCTGATGATTTCGTCCATTTAGAGGCATAGGTTCGAAACGTCGAGTGCGTCATCCTGTAACCCGCCCCCAATTATGACGCAATCAACCCACATTTTTCTTCAACATCAAATAAGGATTTGACGTTGAAGAAAAATGTGGGTCGATTGCGGCATTATTGGAGGCATAATACTAAGGAGGCCCACCCTAATGAAGATGTAAACGGTGTGAAGTTAGAAGTGGTCCAATCTATCGACATACCATATTTAATTAAATTGGAAGATTTTTTCTAAGCTATAAGCTGTCCTTACTATTTTTCCTATCTATTTGAATTTTTACTCCCAGCGTGCTTGAAGAAGTTTCACTTCCAAAATTGTAGCATAAATCTGGTGAATGGGTTCAGCCTTTCTTTTGCTTGAAGAAACAGCTTAAAAGATTTGTCAATTGAAACAGATATCGATAAAGAGGTATTTTTTGTAAAATGCCATGAAGCCCGGTTAAGCAAACAAAAACCAGCTCGTTAGTAGCTTTTTACTTTTTTTACTTTTTTAAAAATTTGACTAACTAAAAATTTTCTAGCGTTTTTGAGAGTGTATTTCCCCCCATCATCCATGAAGCATATAACTAACAGAATATAGGAAAAACTATTTACAGTGTTTGCTTTAACGCTTTTTACCACAAATTGACATAACGTAAAACCACACTTCAAATTAATGACTAAAATGCCTCCAAAGTACGTTTACGAAATAATTTCTTTTTTTACTCAGATTTATTTAATATGGAAAAAAATATGAAAAAGGTTTAAAAAGTCAATGAAGTGCTAGCGATATATTACTAACATTTAAAGATTTCTACGCCATAAATTTATATTTAACTGCATTAGAAAATATTTTATTTTTCGTTTGAAATAGTCTAAAGAAATTAACTCTTCTGTAATGTCTGGAAGTGTTGTCATATTGAACGTATTTTTGAGCATGATATCCCATTATGTGTTTTATGATGGATTAATAATATACAGAGCGATTAAGAATGATTTAAATAATTGACAATTCTATGTTAGCGGAATAGACTATACAGGGTGTTTCAAAAAACATTTGCAATATCTTGTGGTGAGATTAGTCAGATAAAAATAAGATTTATTTTTCATATAAACATAGCTCCGATTCTGCTCTGTTTTGTAGCTACAGGGTGTTAAAGTCTTAATATTTTTGCGATTTATTATAATTTTCTTCCAAGTACTTTTAGCATTTCAAAGGAAATTTTGAGGGTAAAAGTTACTATAAATGCAACATATTTTAAAGCTAAAAAAGTGTCGACATATTCACCAAGGACGTGCATATGGGTTATCACTGGAATATTTTTCTAAAAAAAGCATGTACGCCATTGACCTTTTTTCCCTTCTTAACGAAATAGTGTAAGCAGTTTAATACCGATTAAAAGTTGTCTCTTGATATTTTGTCGATTTCGGCCTCCTTGATCAACACAATTTTACTAATTTGCCTTGATCCCAGTCTAATAGCAACTTTTAAAACATTTTAATATCACTAACTTGCGAAAGTTTTAAATAAGAATTAATTGATTCCTCATCAAAAAATATGAAAAAGAGTTTCTATAAACATGGATATGGAAATGCATAGTTTTAAAGTTACAGGATGATTGAAAGATTTATCTCATCAAGGAGGCCGAATTCGACATAATATCAAAAGTTAACTTTTAATTGGAATTAAGCAGCCTTCACAATTTTGATAAGAACAGAGAAAAAGCCAGTGGCGCATATGTTTTTATTTGAAAAATATTCGATACTTTTTTAGTATTAAAATACTAATATATACTAATATAATATTAAATACATTTACTTATAGTAACTTTTACCCTTAAAATTTCATTTGAATAACTAAAAGTACTTAGAAGAAAATTATAATAAATCGAAAGATTATTAAGACTTTATCATCCTGTAGCTATGAAACAAAGCAGAATCGGATCTATGTTACCTGAAGAATCTCCCCACGAGAGATAACACATGTTTTTTGAAAAACCCTGTATAATTAATTGTTGATTGCTTCATGTTTGACAAACTGTATTTGTTCGTTCATTTTTAATTGATAAATTTGTTTAAAAAAAAAACAGGATTTATTTTCACAAATTTATTTCTATTTCACAGTGTTATAAACAAATTCTACAATTGGAACCTGGCAATATCCAAGGACTTCACAACCTTTGCGTCGTCCACGTGGAACGAGGTCAACTTCTAGAAGCTCAGCGTTGTCTGGAAAAAGCACACCGATTAGCGCCTCACGAAGACTACATTGCCAAACACCTGGGCATCGTGAAAAATCGCATTGTTAAATTACATCTAAACCAGGATGTGGCAGACTCCAAGGAAAAGAGCAAAGTGGTTTCGGATAAAAGCGTGGACGATAACGAGAAGAAGACTGAACCGGTTATAAGAAAAGAGACGGAAAAACAAAAACAACTTTACAGTAGTAGAGTGGTAAATACTGAGCCGATGTTTGTTAATGATATGGACAATGCTCAAGATTACCCCAGCTTTGAGGTCGAAGGAGAAAATTTAGATAACTCTGTGGAACATAATTCGAGCAAATGGGACAGCCAGAAAAGAGACACCAACACTGAAAACACCCCTGCAGACAGATCCTAGCAATAAATCAAACTGAATCGAACCTAGAACAGAATATTTTGAATGTATAAACCGTCGGAGGACTCATAATCTCATAAAAGACTTTTTATATGGAAACCCAGAGACTTGTCAGTCAATCGTGTTAAATGTTTTATCTCCATCTATACAGGGTTTTTCACCACATACGACACGGAGTATTGTAGCTAAACGATGAGATTTTTCCAAATTGTAAGTTTTGGGTTCGTTGAAGGACTATTAGAGCTACAATTTAAAAATATTTTTACATAATACAAAGTGTATAAATAAAAAATATCAAAGTTATTTTTTTTAAATGGAACACCCTGTATATTATTACATTTTTAGTTTCTACAATTAAAATAAAGGTAAATTTGATTAAGGTTTATCACACTTAAGCTTTACCGTTTTAGAAATATTTTCAATTTTGTAGAATTGCAGTAAAAATTATAAGGCTTCATTTCTCCTAGGGTCCCAAAGTCTTTAATACTAAATATTTACTGAAGTTTATTTATTGATCAGTTATTGTGTTGCAATAATAAAAATAATACTACCTCATACAGAGTGTCTAAAAATTTATTTTAAATAATTACTAGCTTTAAACGGCAATATCTTGTTTAATTTAAATGGAACACCCTGTATATTTTAGGAGAATCAGATGCACAATTTAATTGTCTATCAAATTATATTATACCATTTTTTACCTATCCCTTCAAGTTTTCGTAGAAAATGCACTTTCTTATAATTTACACCTCAATTTATCAATATACCCATGGAATATTGACATTTTAGATTGTTTTTAAAGCAAAGAATGTATAAAATGTACAGGTGCTAAAAACGATAATATTACTAGCCTATTTGTATACAAAAAGAAAACTATTTAAATCTTTACAAAAGCGTATACCAATAATTAAATATACCACCAGTATTTCCGCCCAAATACTAATTAATTACATTTAATTGAATCATTTATTAACATAGTTAATAAATGATTCTAAATAAATATGGATTTGAATCAGAAATCAATATAATAATAAGTTATGAAAACTGTTGTTGTCCCTGTTGTTATAAATAAGCATTCGTCAAAAAATTAAATAATATTTTTAAGGTATTACTTTTTACCACACTGTCTTCCACATACAAAATTCAGTTTTTTAGTATTATTAGCAATTATTATTAATCAAAGCAAACAGTCAATTAATGTAGTTTGAATACTGGAATCATATTAATTGGTCCTCTTTAACAAATATTTAGAACAGCTTTTATATCTTTCAATGAAATAAAGCAACTTTATCGACATTATTAGTATAAAGTACAAATGTACTTTCTATAAAGTACAAATGTACTTTTTAGAAATTTGTTACATCTTTAAAAATAATCTAAAATGTCAATATTCCATGGGTATATTGGTAAATGAGGTCTAAATTATAAGGAAATGCATTTTCTACAAAAACCTGAAGATATAGGTAAAAATGCTATAATACAGTTTGATAGACAATTAAATTGTACATCTGATACTCCTAAAATATACAGGGTGTTCCATTTAAATTAAACAAATTATTGCCGTTTAAAGCTAGTAATTATTTAAAATAAATTTTTGTACACACTCTGTATGAGGAAATATTATTTTTATTATTGTAACACAATAACTGATCAATAAATAAACTTCAGTAAATATTTAGTATTAAAAACTTCGATACCCTTGGAGAAACGAAGTCTTAAAATTTTTACTGCAATTTCACACAATTAAAAATATTTCAAAAACGGTAAGGCTTAAGTATGATAAACCTTAATCAAATTTACCTTTATTTTAATCGTAGAAACTAAAAATGTAATAATATACAGGGTGTTCCGTTTAAAAAAATACGACTTTGGTATTTTTTATTTATTTGGGGCCCTTTGTATCATGTAAAAATATTTTTAAATCGTAGCTCTAACAGTCCTTCAACGAATCCAAAAGTTACAATTTGCAAAAATCTAATCGTCTAGCTACAATATTCCGTGTCATATTTGGTGAACAACCCTGTATATTCGAATATCGCAGGGAATAATTTCTCATGATACCTATTGCTCTCTCTATTAAAACGTGAACAGGATTGTTGTAACAAGTCTATAGATGCAAAAAGCCATTAGATGTAGTGTTCGTTCTGTGATACTCAGAATAATTGTTTAAATCTATTTTGACCTAAAAAAATCTAATTATTGTATTAACCCTACCTTTTATACATAGCATGCGGAAATATTTATCCATATGTGACTTAATGTTTACAATCATGTTTTTATTTCTTAGGCACATTCTTAAGCTAAATGTAAGTAACTCTGTATAAGTTTTAAGCTTATAAACATACAAATCAAAGATGAATGGAAATTAGCTTTTTAGGTTGGACGTCTTGGTTGTAAATAATTATTATAGAGAAATTGTTGAAATCAAAGCTATTTTGTCACAAAATATAATGAAAATATATGATGGTTTCATAAATTCTTATGTCAAATAGGTACAGTTTTGTAAAAAATATATTTGTAATCATAGTTGACCTTTGAATGGGCAGAAATAAGTGCATGTGCAAAAAAATACATTTTTCTGGTTTTTAAGATTTAAAGTATAAGATTTTGTGATTTATTTTTAATATAAACTTGAGATTTTTACAGTTAAATTTGAGCAGAAAGGCGCATACTTTCAGATATTAAGACATTAAAATTTTTCAAAATTTTATATAGACCCTGATTTTCTTTTAACTTAATCTATAGTTACGAATATTAAGCCATGTTTTAGATTAAAGATCTATTAAAAATTATATTTTTCTTTGACAATAATATAATTAAAAAGTATACTTTAGCATACTTTTTAAATATCTTATTAAGATTCATTACTTTTTAAATATCTTATTAAGAAAATTTTTTGAAATACTATATAATATACAGGGTGGTCCGAACTGTATTCCGGAAACTCCGGGAGCGTATTCTGCAGATAAAAAGAAGTAAAAAACTTCTTATAAATGTCTGTCCTAAAATGCTTACTTTCGGAGATACAGGGCATAAAAGTTTCATTTTTATTCCGATTTTTTCCAAATAATTTCTGAAATAACGTCAATATTTAGATGAAAATTGGTATCTGATCTCTGAGTTTTTTGACATGAAGAATTTGATTTTGATGTCATTATGACTCCTATTTGTACAGGGCGCCCCCTACATGTGTTTTAACTGTTTTGAAGAGTAATAAGTTTTTGTCCGTACCTGTATAGAACTGCCGAGTAAAAAAACATACATTTTCGTATTTTTTTACGTCAAAAATGTCTCTTGGTAGAAATCGTTACGAGCAACCCTTCTCGAGATATTTACAATGGGAATAGTCAATACATGTTATTATTGACTAAAAATAAACATAAGTTGAGTAGATAGTTATGACTAAAATGATAAATTTGGGAAATTTTTATTTTTTTAAATTAATCATAAAGTTTTCTTCGAAAAAATGATGATTGATGATGATTTGGCACAAAAACATTTAAAATTTATGATTTCCGTCTATTAACTATTTAGTCAACATGTTTAATTTATGTCAATGATGACAGGTATTGATAACTTCGATTTCAAATATCTCGAGAACTATTACTTGTAGGGATGTTTATTATGAGATCTTTTTTACGTTAAAAACGTCGTAAATGTCTATTTTTTTTACTTAGTAGTTTTATACAGGTACGGACGAAAAGTTATTACTCTTCAAACCAGTTAAAAATATGTAGGTGGCGCCCTCTACAAGTAGGAGTCACATTGACATCAATATCGAATTTCTCATATCAAAAAACTCCCAGACACCAAATTTCATCCAAATATTGACGTTACTTCAGAAATTATTTGGAAAAAATCGAAATAAAAATGAAACTTCTACACCCTGTGTCTCCGAAACTAAGCATTTTAGGACATATATTTATAAGAACTTTTTTACTTATTTTTATCTGCAGAATATGCTGCTGAACTTTCCGGAATACAGTTCGGACCACCCTGTATAATAAATAATAAAGTATAATACAGGGTGTTTTAAACAACATGTGCCATATCTCCTGGGAATATTCCTCTCGTAAAATAAGATTTATTTTTCATATTAACATAGGTCCAATTCTGCTTTGTTTCGTAGATACAGGGGGCTTTCGTAGCTAGTGCTATGCCTTTTTTTTTCTTTTAGCAAATTTATATAGACCGTTAAACGCTCATTAAAAGTTGTCTCTTGATATTTTGTCGATTTCGGTCCCATTGATGAGATAAACGCAATTTAATTAACTTACCTTAATCCAATTCTCATTGCAACCTTTTAAAGATTTATGCACACTTGCGCCGTTTGTATAAATTGCCAAAATGTTAAATAAGTATTCATTGATTCCTCATCAAAAAATATAAAAAAAGTTCCTATAAAAATGTGTGCGGAAATGCATAGTTTTAATGTTATAGGCCTTTTGTAATTCTCTTAAATGCCATTATTTTTTTGGGAATAGCAATGTATATCAGTGTTAAAAATTTTAATAAAATTTAGTAACGAATTGCGTTAAATAAATGGTTTATTAATTTTTTATTTCTGTTTTAATTTTACTAATTATTGTGATTAATAAAATGGCGTTTGTCTCATCGAGGAGGTCGATATGAACAAAATATCAAGGTAAAACTTCAACTTCAATCGGCATTAAATAGCCTACACACATTAGCTAATAAGAGGAAAAAAGTCAGTGGTGCATATATTTCTTTTTAGAGAAATATTCCAGTTCGACACTTTTATAGCATTAAAATATATAGCAATTATAGTAACTTTTACCCTCTACATTTCATTCGAATCGCTAAAAGCACTTTATATAGAAAATATATAATAAAGTAGGTCTTATTTTTACATGAGGAACTTCCTCACGAGAGATGGCACATGTGTTTTGAAACAACCTGTATATCAAAAAATATAATCCTACAAAAACGTTAACTATGAACTTTTAATATTATTCTGATCCTATTCAGGCTGTGTACTACATCATTTTATGAATAACAACTCTTAACAAACTATATCTGTCATTGCAAAATACGTAAAGTCGATCATTTTTTTATTATTGGCTGTGTATTTTCATCACTCTGTAGCTGTAACTCTTATCAAACGGTTTTTGTAAGAGATATAAAACAAGCAAATATAACGATAGAAAGTTCGTATGGCAGAATTAATAATTAAAGGTCTGATTATTAAAATTT